ATGATGTAAATAGCAGAAATACAATCTGGTCTATTTCTACAAGAACTCATTCTATATTATAAACTGCAACTACTCTTAATAGACAAAGGCCACATACTAAACCAATGATTTACAAACACAAAAATCATTCTATTTAACCATGCTCAATAACTACACTATGAATAACATAAAAGCAATTCTAAGGAAACTAAAAATAATTAAACCTCCTTGCAGAACTTCTATGTCAGTGACTGTGTTCATACAAAATCCATAGCTTACTTAACCATTGTTCAGTCAGGACAATCAGTCACAATTGACCAGTTTCACATCCTACCAAACCATGAACTACAGTCTGAAAATAAAAGTGAGTGAGTTCTCATCACAATAAACCAAAATCAAAACAAACTCATTGGGGCTTTGACAGACAGCCACCTGCTCCCTCCTCTCTTTTGTATTACAGGATCAATCAAATTAATCACATAATCCTAATCAAATTAATCACATAAAACAGGAACAGGCATAAATTCTCACTTTTGATAGCAATAAACCAGGAATCTGGAGTTGGCTATCATGCAAATCTTTACAGTTCTAGCTTGATGACTGTGTGAAGGGATTAAGAAAGAAGCTGAATACATCAGCATATGGCCTGCTTATCCTCTATCTAGGGGCTGTGGTGTCAGCTCCCAAATACTTTTCTGACAACATTTCAATATGATTTCAACATATTTAAGAACATATTTATTTCCGTCAAAGAGGCTTACCCTGGCCAGAGCAATACTATAAAATGCTATCCTTAACTAATACTTTATTGCTTATGGATTCTTTATATCATTGCATTTTTACTTAGTAATTTACATGACATGGATTTCTTGTTTAATTGAGGTTGTACTTTATTAGGTTGTAATGTTTTTATAATTTAGTTGTGTAAACATTCATATTATCTAGTTGCTTTGGTTATTTTGAATTGATTACTCATTATAGATTTGTGAAAGCAATTAAATCATATATCATTTTGCACTAAGGAATAATTTCGTTGTTCAATCTCATTTTCCAAATATTTGTCTTCCAGGTATCTCCTTTGAAGATCTAACAATTACCTAGATTTTCTCTTGACTGTTTTGGAAAATAGGTTTGACAACACCATTTAGTGAGAAACTACTGCTCATATACATCATCATACTCAGCCAATCTTGGAAAGTCTCAACAAACACAATTACTTGATAAGATACTTGTAACCGACCTCGCATGTAACCAGTATAAACAAACTATTTTCTTACCTTTACCCTCCTTCTCTCATCTATATTTAAATTCCATACCAGTCTAGACTATAGACCAGGGATGTCAAACTTGGGGCCCGGGGACCGGATCCAGCCCGTGGGGTGCTTAGATCTGGCCTGCTGGGCTGTCCTGGAAATAGTGAAGGACTGGCCCGCAGGGCCTCTGCCAGCAAAAATGGAGCTCGGGGGGGGGGGGGGGGGGGGGGGGGG